TTTTCACAAGGGACTCTGCTGCTGCCCTTACTGCCCAGCTTGACCCACAAGACAGTACTCATGACTGAGATGCGAGACCGGCCACTTCGCGGCTCCAAGCTTCAGGCACAACTTGGTATGAGACAACTTTCTGAAATTTTGCATATAGCTTGACGGTGACATCATATAAAGTATGCTCAAAGAGATCAAAGGTATCTTGCGGGAGGAGAACTTGAAAGGAAAGCCAGTGGCCTACGTAGCGCAGATAGCAAAGCACAACTTCCAGAACATTGAACATATCCGAAGCCGGCTCAAAAGACAAGCATTGCCACCCTTCTGTGACATCCAACCAGATGGCAGTCACAGACTCTGGGCTCCACTGCACGAACAAACACAATCCCCAGTGGCACTCATGAGTAAGAGCATGTCGCCACTTCACCCAGTCAGTAGAAGCTTTGGCATAATGAGGTGTCTGGCAGTATAGATCCGCCACAGTCTGTTGATGACTAGCCCAACGCTGACGATCAGCTGCCAACTCACGTAATTCATGCCAGCTGGGACCGCCAGTAGATACACAGAGACCCGTGGCAGCAACGACATGATGAACCCACTGAAAAAGCATGTTGCGAGGCCCTGGTCTTACTTGATGCCACAAACCTGGAACCCCATGTCTCAAGGCAATAGATGGCATAGTGTCCTCTTTCTTTCGAAGTAGATGACCCACATAGTTCCACTTGCGCAAAATCCAGCCCTGTACCACCCCTGCCCTGGCATCAAGATGGTGAAGAAGAGCCGCCGTGCGTCGACGAAGCAGGTTAAGAGGCATTGCAGCGCTAGGCCCAAGCCACGCAGGAATGTACAGCTTGAGTACTGCGATTGCAGCATCATTCTGTAGCTTACGAATACGGTCTATGTGTTTCTGGAGCGGCTGTAAAAGCGGTGATATCCACAGCCATTTGGAATGCACGTACTTGTACAAGACGTTTAAACATGCCACACTCTGATTCCAATTGAGTTTCTTGGTGATCGAAGCCATAGAATCGAGCCCTTGATAAACAGCACGTCTACTGAATCCCACCATAGCGTCATTGAGGTCCTCAGCGTGAGGATTGAAGGCGTCAAAGTGTGAAACGGTTTTGCGCAGATACTTGGCTTGGTTGGCCCACTTGCACTGCCTCAGCGGAGAGTTCTGTGGCACTGTACGCTCCCCCTCAGCCAGGACTTGTGTAGTGGAAAATACAACCGTCTTGTCGAAGTTGAGATGAAGGCCCACAGCTTGTAACTGATCGCACAAATACGAAAAGGCCTGGTGTGCTTGCCTCCAGTTACCATATATAACCAGACAGTCATCAACAAATAACCAACCTGGGATGTCATGCATGTTGCACTCTGTTTGACTCTGGAATACATGGGAAATGACTGTATCGAAATAGTGCGAAAACACCGTGGCAGAGTGACTGCCTCCCTGTTGTACTCCTATGTTGGCCTCTAGCTGCCACTGCTGGCCCTCAAACTCAAAGTTCAACGTTGGATGCAGCAGCATCTCACAAAGACGAAGCGCTTCCGGAGCGTGACTGGCCGGGGTAACATCTTGGATGTGTCGAAGTAGATGACTGTACCCTACACTGTCGAAGGCCTTGCGAATATCCAAACTGATGTATATGCAAGGCGCACCCTGCAAAGACTCCCGCTCCAGAAAAGCGTGGACACCTAGCAAGGCATCGAGAAGCTGACCACCTGGTAGCCCGCCATATTGGTGCTTTGGTTTAGGCCAAACATCAAGTAGTCTTGTCACCAAGAGTTTGCAGAAAAGCTTGTTCATGGTCTCTAACAAACATATTGGGCGGAGATCTTGAGGTCCACAGACAGTTTGGAGTTTTGGTATAAGCGCTACCACACATTGCTTCAGGGCACCGATGTCTTGAGAGCCTCTCTGTAGAAGCACTGCCAGAAAGTCCTGCAACATATCTACGCCCTTGGTGGACTGGGCGAGGCACTGGAGGAACTCGTTACTCATGCCAGTGGGCCCTGCAGTCTTGTTCAACTTAAGGGCGTGAACAGCAGTCTGGATCTCCTCACTTGTAAACGGAACGCAGTTGGAGGGGTTGCACAAACCACGGAACTTGTGTAGACAATCCTCTATCGCCTCATCTTCCGAGGGGTCCGAAGGTCGCACAAACACCGCAGAAAAATGATCTTTGACTTGCTTCGCAGCTGCTTCCGCTCCTCCAGCTTGGGCGATAAAGGATGCGGTAGATGGCTTAGGGTTCTGGCGCCTGCGAACATAATCTATCGCTCCGAATTCGCCGGATGCAGCCTGAGATTCAAGCGTGCTCCACCAATGCAGTCTGGCCAAGTGTCTTTGTGTCAGAATCTCCTTTGTAAGACGGCTACGCTCATGTGCTACGGACTGCCGGCGTTGTTTACACAATTCTTTAACATGAGGCGGATCAACATATTTACAACTTCGTCTTGGAATAGAAACTTTCGTTGACATGGTACACAGTGCTTGCCATTGTTGTGGGAGGGCGTAGTCCTGGATAAAGGCATCATGTGTGTCAGTGACAAGCTGTTGTAGTTTCGTGGAGTCAACCACCCACTTCCGACAACGTCTTCTGTGCCAGACTTGCGTGCGCAGCTTCCTCGGATTGGATTTCGTGCACATCAGAACAGAGCAGAATACAAGGTCGTGGTCGGACGGGAGCTCGGTACGAGACCCCTGCACCACGTCAGTGTCATCCCCGTAGTCCACATCGACAAGCAAACTCTTCATTTTGTCATTGAAGATGAAGTAGTCATAAGTTCTGGAGCTGACGCGACCATGCCATGTTTTGGACTCCGGGTGCTTGCAGCACACGCCAAATGATGCGAGTTCTAGCTGAAGAGTTGCACCCCTATCATCTTGAACATTGCTCCATTCACAGTTAAAGTCACCCGCAATGATAACGGCAATAGAAGAATACTTGGTGAGAATATGGTTTACCTCTGCACATGCAAGCTCAAATTCACTGTCAGGTCGATCTTTATGAGGAAAATGAACATTAACGAAAACCACCTCACACCCACTATCCAGAGTGAAGCGCACAGCAGCATATCTCTTTCCATGCCAGGACTCGGAAATGAACTTAACGGATTGCCTGTCAAGAAGGATCACATTGCCTAAGTGCGAATCGCAAGATGAGGTACCAAGGATATGGTAGTCGCTGAGTTCAGAACCCTCTGATGCTTCAATAGATGCTAAGGAACCATCGGCATTGGCGGGCGGGATATGACATCCAACCTCCTGTGCACCCAGCATATCAAATCCATTTGGATATAATGAAAGCCAGTCGCCAATTCTGGTAACCCCTTTGCCTCTAACATTCCAGGAGCCAAATCTATACAGTTTATGCACCATTCCACGGTCTTGTGAATTAAATGTTTCGGCGCTATCTCCTTGTCAGCTGGATGTCTGCACCCTCACTTCAACGTCAGAGGCCGTCTTCCCTGTTAGGGCAGCAAGCAGAGTAACATTGACATAGAAGTGACCTGCCTCTTGGCTATGATTGCTTGCTGGAATGTGAATGTGAACAACCCGATCTTGAGAGGAACTGCGTATATCACCAAGCTTCCCTGTGGCAATTCTCCGGTCCTTGTACCAGATGAGCTGCCTGGACCATTCCACTTCAAGGTCGTCTGGATTGTCTGACTGGAGGACAGCTTGCAAACGGTTAAGTGTCTCGCGAGTTGATCTGTTCTTAGCTCTGCGCTCCGGAGTGCGGCTAGGTGAGAGCCAGATGGGCTTCCCACCCACATTCGAATGAAACTTCCCACTGTGTTCTTGTTGCAAGCTATAGAACCTCTCCCGGGCCTCTTGCTCGGGCAGGGGGCATAGGTAAATGTGACTGGTGTTAGCCCGCGATCCGTAGACCACCACGCGATTGATCTTGACATTGGGACCGAACTGCTCGCAGATATGCCAGGTATCGCCGTCTATGACTCCTCTCCTAGTGTCCTCTGGCCATCCACCTGCTACGATGTGATTGAAGTCTGTCTCACTGCTGCCCGTTGGCGACGAAGTAGTCATGCTAGACTTCGGGCTGGTATGCTGGTGATTCTCAGATTCAGGGAGTGGCGGGGGATGCACAGGCCTGCTAGGCACACCCGGTTGGCCCGATGTCTCACCACCAGGATCTGCGAATCGCTGAGATGCTGACTGACTGCGCATGGACTTTACTGCTTCCACAAGCTCCTTCACTTGTCCCTCCATGTTCTTCATTCGCTCTCCGACATTCTCTGCTTCAAGCTGTCGAATGCGACCGTCGAACCCATGATACCCTTTTCCCATATCACTAAGTTGAAGAGACATATTGTGCTGCATTGAGATAATGGTCTCCGCCCAAGCTGGAACCGCCTCGAGCTCCTGTGTTCGCTGTTTTCTCAATAGCTGTTCGAGTTGTTCATCAGGATCATTGGACGCCGACCTCTTACCAGGACTCTCCGACCCATCAGCATTAGCCATCGGGGCATCGCCCTTCACCTCAACGAGCTCTGCCATGTGAGATCTGAACCCTCGAATCAAACGGGGACACTTAAGCCGAAACACTTGAGCCGTAAACCCCTAAACCCTAAACCCCTAAACCCCCAAACCCTAAACCCCTCCCCCCCCCCCAATCCAAAAAACAGCCGCCAAAGGCCCGAAGCAACGACCTGCCAAGCAACTGGCTGGAGACCTCAGCTCGATCCCTTTGAAGCTTAAGGCTTTTTTGCTTAGGGTTGTTATTAGGGTTTTAGGGTTTAGGGATCAGGGTTCAAAACCCCCATATATGGTTTCCGGGCTGGGGGGGCCTGGCCGTCATTTCCCCAGCACCATCCCAACCACGCCCCTCCAGAGTCGCATCTTTAGCGGACGCTGTAAAGATTTTTAAAGTCAGGAAGATGCTTCGGCTTGGAACATGACTGACTTTTCTATTGAACGTTTTTTGGATTGGGGCCATGAGAGTTGCTGCGGGCAGTATGCTGCGTTCCGGTTGTAGGTATGCAGTTGATGCCGACGAAACTTGCGGGCCCGCCTCAATGCACAGCTGTGGCGCCGTGGCAAGCCGGGCCACAAAATGCTTGAAGTCCTCACAGACATGGGTAGCTCTCTAAAGTAGGGTCCCTGTTTAGGTGCCACAAATAGTACGGCACCCTTGTAAACAAGGACCCCTAAACGCGATCCGTACTTAGAGAACTACCCACATAGAAGATGGCCCATGGCTTCTCTACAGTCTCGACTGCGCAGGGGTCTTCGGCTTCGACACAGTGAAGCTCGAACACCTACTTGGAGGATCATGGGACTTAGTAAGTAAGGTTATAAGTCCCGTAATTGGGGTTATAAGTATAGTTACCTTGATTATAACCCAACTTACTACGTCCCATGATCCCTAAACCCTAAACCCTAAACCCTAAACCCTAATTATAACCCTACTTACTAAGTCCCATGATCCTTTCAGTATGATCATTTCAGAACCAGAAACCATCCGTGCGCGTTAGGCTCCACATGCCCGCCCTGAGGCTCTCTATGAACCTTGGTTTAAGGGTTTAGGGTTTAGGGTTTAGGGTTTAGTATCTACTTAAGCCTGAAAGCAAATATATAGGGACCATAAAAGCCTATAAGTATATACTGCCTGGGCCTGGGGCCTTTTGGAGACAGAAGATGTCAAGAGGTTTTGTAAAAATCCTTCATGTACTGGCCTTAATAATCAGAGTAGGGTTGTGGGGTATCTATTCCTTTATATATATATATATATATGTATATTAATATACATATATTTTAAGGCCCCAAAGTCACACCCTGGAGCAAAGGATCCTTTTGGCATTGACACCACCGGGCCCGAAGAACCCAAGAATCCGCTCCGAAGCCCCAAAGCCTAAACACGGTGAGGCTACCTTAAGCCTGCTACAAGGGTACGCCTCAACCATACCAAAAGCTCTACATAAAGTGCCATTTCAGTTGCGAGGTGCTCACTTTGGACCCGAACTGGACCCAGGAAAACTCATCCAACAACGTTATCTTGTGCACCAGCTGCGATGTATCCCCACATGCTAGAACCCAGACTCCACCGTTTTGCGCTCTTGCTTCAGGAATTGTGTAAAGCCAAAACCGACAAAGGCTCAATGCAAAGTCTACAGCCTATTATAGTAACACTTCTCGTAACCTGAGTGATTAGCATGATAGCCCTATAAACCCTAAACCCCTTAAGCCCAAATAGTATACTTAGCCGTAGCCCACAGAATAGGTAGCTCCTCGAGGCTCGTCGACTGCACCGCTTGGCGTTTACGCGACCGGCGCTGGAAGTCGTATCGTTGGCGGCTGACCTATAGGAGGCACGAGGCGCAGGTCTGTGAGCTACGGCCTTGTAGGAGTCCAACAACAAGGGTTTAGGGAAGTAGGGTTTAAGTTTTGGGGTTTTGCGCTCTCGCAACTCGGACTCCGCCAAACGAGGTCAGTCGATCCATCAGCACTTCAACTATCGCAGTAAGAGCTGGCGATCATTCCTACACCACAAAGAGACAAAATCACAATGTCTAAGGTTTTAGGGCTTAGGGTTATCCGGACTGTTATGCTGGTTAGCAGTCATGAACCAGTCCTGTGCAGGCCATCTCCATGAACTCTGCACCGGTAAACTCTCTGCTCTGAGGCAAAGGTGCTTCAGTCCAGTATCTGGAGTTCTCCTCGCTCAGGTTCTTGGGGGCCTCCGACAGAATCGAGACAAGTCCTTTGCACGGGACAGCACTTATGATAGGGTCGAAATATGGTGCTGGGGGGCTTTATTGTCTAGTTCCACTCTGATACTGCTACTGCTACGGCTACTTCTTCTACTACTTCTACTGTTGCTACTACTACTACTACTACTACTACTACTACTCCCACTCCCACTCCCACTCCAACTCCCACTCCCAC